TCTGTCCTAATCCGCTTCACTACACACTCCGCCTGCTTCTCCACGAATGGCAGCCAATCGTCCCGTATCGTGGAGGCGGCGTGGTCCTTCTGCTTCAGCGGATACGCCCACATCAGCCTGCTCCAGTCATCCACAATTGTAAGAAAATACCGCTCCCCCTTGTGCCCTTGCACCGGCAGCGGCCCCACCAAGTCCATATGGACCAGCTCCAAAGGCTTCTTGCTCCTGCCAGCCACACTATGGAAAGGGAAACGGGTGAACTTTGAAAGCAAACAGATTTCACAGTTGTCATCGGGTGGCTGTCCGTTCAGCTTCAGACCCTTAACGGCTCCATCCTTCTCCAGCTGCTTCAGCAAAGGCATTGCCACATGCCCTAAGCGCCGGTGTGCCGTTGCCCAATCTGTCTCCCCAGATCTGGCCGACACTTTCACACCAACCCCTCCAACGGCATTGCACTCCCCCTGGGATGCAGACCCCTCTCCAGCCTGCCCCCCACCATGCCACGCCAGGGCCGGCAGCTGCCACATAGATCTGTACACGTCCTTGCTCTCGTGCAGATCCCAAAGCACCCGATTGCCTAGCTTCCCCTTATAAGTGCGTGCCCCATCCGTGTTGGTGTTCACCCCAGCCTTGCCAAGCTTACGGAGGGAGATAAGGTTGGCCTTCAGGTCGGGGACGAAGAGAACGTCGTGCAGCACCACCGGCTTGCCATCCGCTCCCTTAAACGCAGCTCGTCCCGCACCAGCCACCTTCAACATGTGTCCAGAGGCAGAGCACACTTCATTGATCGGTGCAGCTCGTACTTCGTCCAGCAGGTCCTTGCGCGGCGTCATCGTCCAAGCAGCGCCTGTGTCCAACACCCAATAGTCTAGGGGGTGCAGCTCTGCTCCAACTTTGGCAGAGGCGTCTCCTTGCTCCCCCTTGTCTCCCACATGGAAGAATTGGCCCGCGGTGCGCTCCTTCTTCTTCTCCGCACCGCCGTTGCCCTTCGGGTTGTTGTCGGACGAATCAGCGACCATGTTGGCGCCGTTTTTCTGGTTCCTCCGCGCGCCGCCATCCTGGTGACGATTCTGGGGGGTCCATCCATCGGGTTTCTTATAGCACAAAAACCAGGGGTGCCCTTCCTTCTCACAATACCAGCAACTCCCTTTCATTTTGCCACCAGCACCCGACTTGCCCCCACGTCCAGATTTCGCACCGCGACCCCAACCGGTACCTCCTTGTTGGTCGTTGGAGTCGTCGTCTTTCTTTGCACCGCGTCCAGCACCACCGAAGCCACGTCCTCTGCCACGTCGGCTCCCTTGCATCCCGTAGCCGCTGCTGCCGTCGTCTCCACCCCTCAGTTGGCGGCGACGGAAGTCCTCCTCCAGAATCTTCGTCCGCACCCACTCGAGCGTCCACAAGCTCTGGTTCTGCGGCAGGCTCAATCCGCTCGTAAATTGAAGCCACGATTCTGGCAGCAGCGAGAGCATCTTCAAGCACTTGGTCTGCTCCGGGTAGGTGATTCCCGCGGTCGCCAACTTCGCGTAGAGGTCGCGCATCTTGTCCAGGACTGGTTGCACCGGCTCTCCCTCGCTCAGGCGCAACGCGGACAGCTCCCTCTCCAGCATCAACGTTGCGACAACGGAGGTCGGGGCATGCAGCTCCTTCAACACGGTCCATGCCTTCGGACCGCATTCAACCTCCGGCAGCAGGTGCATGACGTGGTGACGCTGGTTCAGCTCCAAACTCTGCGACATCAAATAGTAGCCAGCCGAGGAGCGCTCGTCCCAATCTTCCTGCAGCGTAGGGTCACTCGGTCTAGGCTCCTCCCCAATCATTAGTTTCAGCAAACCGATCTGACGGAAATATAATTGCATTTTCCAGGCCCAATCATCATAGCCCTCACCATTGAACTTCTCGACGGTGAAATTCTTCAGCACCTCCTTGACAAGCGAGCCCTGGTTTGTTCGCGCTCCCCTTGGCGCTGAAAGACCAGAATCTTGGCTGCCGCTATGATCTTGGGCTGAAGATTCACCAGCTCCCGCCGAGGTGTTGCCCGCCATAGCTACCTATAACGAGGATCACTATAACGCAGCTCTGATACCAGCTTGTTGGTGTAAGGGCCTAATAAACTCAAGCTATTAGGACTTAATCAAACTTAAAACTTCTTGTTGGTGTAAGGGCCTAATAAACTCAAGCTATTAGGACTTAATCAAACTTAAAACCTCTCCTCGGGGTCACCTCCAAGGGTCCCTGGGTGCCTGGTACAAGACCAGCCCCTATCCTCGGGTCCGAGTTTGTAGAGAGAGGGATCAAGAAGGACTTAGTCAAAACAGCAAGAGTACATTGAACGTCGCGCAGCGTGCCGTGCAGACCGTCGGTCGGATTAAGCTGAGAATTCGCTATATCGAAGCTCGCTCCAAGAGCTTTAAAATGAGCCAAGTTGCCTCGCGAAAAAGTTCTGCCATTACTAAGTTATGGCTCGGACAGCGTTTGCCTAGCGTTGGAGTGCTAGCATACTAGCGTTGACTCGGGTAGCATTCCGCCGTCGAATAGCGCAGAAACGAAATTCCAGCGAGGAAGGAATTCGCTTGAATCAATTTTACTATATTCAGGTACAAACAGAGAAGGATTAAATAGTTCTAGCTAGCAAGGACCTTGGGAATCAACCTGGGAACAACCAGGGATGATCCCAAATAATTCCAAGCAACAGAACCAACCTGGCTGGACAAAATAGCAGGTGGTAGGTTGGTAAACAACCTCTGGTTCTGTTTTTCCAACCTGGGAAAACAACAACCAGGTTCAGGTTCTAAAAACAGAACCTGTTTTGTCTTTGCCCAACCAGCCAAATGCTGGTTCCGCTGGTTTCCCCTGGCCTTGTAGCATGCAGATACAGACAAACAACATCCAACCTTCACCTAAATTGTACCCCTATAGTGCCTTCCCTGCTACACTATAGTTAACCAAACAAAACAGTACAATTTCGAGTTGGATAGAACTGAATCTGCGCAATCAACCCAACCGAACTGCAAAGCTTCCATCTTGGGTTCCTTTGCGAGCTCGTCCTTTCTGCTTGCACTGTTCATAGCGCGTACAATGTTGTGCCGAAGCGCACATTGCGCGAGTACCTGCAAATGCATCAAGCGAAAAATGCGAAAGCAAACAAACACACGAACACACCATTCATACGCAAATGCATTCGCACACGCATACTCGTACAAACAGACGGCAGGATGTCGTGCAATGTGCATTTGCACCCAAGAGTAACGCACTTACTCATAGTACCATCCATAAGGTTAAACAATACAATTATTCTTAGTACCATCCATATTGGTAAGTAACACACTTACTTTTAGTACCATCCATATGGGTAAGTAATGCACTTACTCTTAGCACCATACATGTGAATAATTATCATATTGACTCTTATTACCATCCCTATGGGAAAGTAATGCACTTACTGTTAGTACCATTCATATGGGTAAGTAACATACTTACTCTTTCTGCCATCCATATAGGTAAGTAACGCACTTACTCTTAGAATCGTCCATACGAGTAACGCACTTATTTTTAGTACCATCAATAAGGGTAAGTAGCGCACTTATTCTTATTACCATCCAAATAAAAAGGAAACATATTTTTAGTACCATCTGTATAAGAATTTGTCAATTTGTCATTTGTCAATCAAGAGGGACCCACCCATAGAAACCTCAATCTCGCCGCCATGGCTGCCTGACGCCAGCCTACAACTGACATTGCGTGAAGCTTGTTTATCAGTTGGCTTTAATCTCGTCGGCATTGTACTCGCTATAGCAAGACAAAGAGGATCATATATTCTATGAATTCACCAGGCGAACATTTTGTTATTATGTCATTGGAGTTATACGCTGACTCAGCGGTCTAAGCCCAAGGCTAACACGTAGTTACCATCATTAAGAGACGTCACAAGGCTACCAACTAAGCTTACAACCATTGGCCATCCGGATATTGCGTTGATACAGCAGGATGACCCTGAAGTCTCCTCATCGGTGTTGCATCATCTATGCCAAGAACAATGGGCTAATGCTATTACAATAACCCTACTTTAACGTGGTGTGCTCAGACTTCCGGCTCACTGCTTTCAATAGTCTTGCTGGTCACAGACTCTGTCGGTTAATCGTCATCATTGCACAATGCCTCCTAAGAACTCCCGCGCTAAGCCGACGGCTGATGCTATTACTAACAACCCCGCCGGCGCTTCTTACCCTGCGAACATTACAACGCAAAGCAAACGGTCACACGTTGTGAACAACCTTTCGTCTGAAGCAAATGTGACTGCTAGAAGCTCGGGTCTTTCCGTTGAGGAAAAGATGACGGCGCTGGCCACCGTGGCTGCTGATGACTCTTTCATCGAAGACGGCTCCGATGAAAATTCGAGATTGACATTAGCAAAGGCGCCTTCCCGTATCTGCAGTCGACCGTCATTCTGCTCTTGCCTGTGATCCCGTCACACGAGATTGCTTCGTAATCTCAACTGTGCAAATGCTAATGAAGCGTGTTTGGTCAAACCTTCTCTCTGACGAACCGTCTCCACGTGTCCTTTCTGTTGGTGTAAGGGCCTAATAAACTCAAGCTTTTAAGACTTAATCAAACCTAAAACCTATCCTCGGGGTCACCTCCAAGGGCCTCTGGGTGCCTGGTATAAGACCAGCCCCTATCTTCGGGTCCGAGTTTGTAGAGAGAGGAGTCAAGAGGGACTTAGCCAAAAAAACAAGAGTACCTTGTTCATCGCACAGCGTGCCGTGCAGACCGTCGATCGGATTAAGCTGAGAATTTTTGAAGCTCGCTCCAAGAGCTTTAAAATCAGCCAAGTTGCCTCACAAAAAGTTCTGCCATGACGAAAATATGGCCCGGACAGCGTTTGCCTAGCGTTGGAGTGCTAGCGTATTAGCGTTGACTCGGGTAGCATTCCGCTGTAGAACAGCGTAGAAACGAAATTGCGGAATGGTCCTTTCCTGCCACTGTTCTTTAGGATGCACTCACTCTTGCCCCCTCCCATGACCTACTGCCGCCGTCCTCGCCCTGGTCATGGGACCAGAGTAGTGCTGCCCTCCTGTCGCCTTCCCCACCACGGCCACATTAGTCACATGGTCCATAACTCGCTTTCCACTCTCCTCCTCCAGCAAGTAGTAGGGGGACACGTCCTTCAAAGCCGCATGCTTACTGAACCTGTATCCTGCCATCACCCACGCCAGCTTCTTGTCCCAGTCTCCCTTGTGTGCCTCCCCGTATACGCGCAAACCCCTCTTCACAATCTGTACCAGCCTCTCCGTCAGCTCGTCTGCCTGTGGGTGGTATCGTGAGGTAGTGCGGTGCTGGATTCCATTCGACACTAGCAGCTCCTTAAACTCGCATTCGAACTCCGTCCCGTGATCTGTCAATACCTCCCCGCATGCTCCGAACCGCGTGAGCACCATCTCTTCGAATGCCTCGGCCACCGCTGCTGCGGTTTTATTCACCAGCGGTCGTGCTTCGGCCCATTTTCTCTCCATGACACTGGCAGCTCCCCCGCTATGTCCAGGGACCAGCGGTACCCCAACTCTACGATCGCCAATGGCTGCAGCTCCGCTTGTCTCCTCAACAGCGTGGCCTTGTTTCGGCTGCAGAGCTCGCACTTGTCCACCCACTCTTTCACCTCCTTCCTCATCCCTGCCCACCACCAGCCTGTCTGCAACAACTGAATCATGGGCAGTGGCCCGAAGTGGCCCAGCTTGCCGTGCACCTCTCTGATCAATGCCGCTCGCTCTGCTGGCTCTGGGACGCGCTTCCACCCGTCCTTCATCTGCAGCTGCACCTGTCACTGGTACCACCTGTAGTGCTGACCCTTGGCTCTGGCCCTGCTCCCTGCTCCTCCATCCTCCCCAGTTTCTCCCTTTATCCATGCCAGCATTGCTGCATCCTGCCACACATCCACTGCTCCTCTCTCATGTTCACCTGCTGCCCCCTTTTCCTTAAACATGGCTGTGAGAGCTGCTGCTGGCTGCACCATGTCCACGTCACTATCCTCCCGCTCCCTCGGTGGGTTCCGTGAAAGCCCATCCTCGTGCTGCATGGTCTTGCCCGGGCGGTGCCTCACCGTGAAGTCGTACTCTTGTAGCTTCATCGCCCATCGTGCATTCCGCCATGTCAGCGTTCAGTTCTGCATCAGCCATAGCAAGGGCTGATGGTCGGTTACCAGCGTGAAGTGCCTTCCTTGCAGGTACACTCGGAAATGTCCCACCGCCCACACCGCCGCCAGCCCTTCTCCTTCATAGGAGGAGTAGTTGGCTTCTGCGGGGTTGCAGGTCCTGCTGACGAACGCCACCACCTTCTCCTGTCCTCCCTCCATCTGACTCAGGACCACCCCCATGCCGACGCTGCTCCAATCGGTGTAGAGCACGAAAGGTGCCTTCCCGTCAAGCAGCTTCAGTACCGCTCTTGCCTTTACCACCTCTATCAGGCCCTTCAGTGCGACCTCCTGCGCCTTCCCCCACTGCCACTTCTGATCCTCCCTCAACAGCTTATTCAATGCCGCCGCGCGCTTACTGAAGTCGGGGATGAACTTCCTGTAGTAGTTCAAAAAGCCCAATAGTGCTCGCAGCCCGCTCCTGTCCTTTGGTCGACCCACCATATCCAGCACCTCTACCTTCGCCTTCTGGATGCTCATCATTCCCCCTGCTACTTTAAACCCCAGATAAGCCACGCTGCTGTGGCCGAAGCGGCACTTGCCCGGGTGGCATGTCAATCCTGCCGCGTGAATAGCTCCCAGCGTTGCCTCTATGTCCTCTACATGCCTCCCACTGTCTGGGCTAAAGATGATAACATCATCTATGTAACAGGCTGCACCCTTCACCCCCCTCAGCACCGTATCCATCACCCGCTGGAACACTGCCGAGGCGTTTCTTAACTCGAATGGCATGAAATTCCACTCGTACAAGCCATCTGGTCCCTGGAATGCCGTCTTCCGCTTGTCCTCCTCTGCTATCGGGATCTGATTGAAGCCTTGCCTCAGATCTAGCGTCGAAAACACCCAGCTCCCGTGCAGCTGGTCAAAGATCTCCTCCGCCATGGGCATAGGGTAGCGGTCTGTGGCCGTGACCTTGTTCAGCCCCCTGTAATCCCCACACATCCTCCTGGACAGGACTGTCCCTGTCAGATCGGTTCTCGCTGCTACCACGGTGGCTGCTGCATAGTCTGACGCTGATCTACGAATTAATCCCGCTTCCAGCAGCTCTTGGCACTTTGCGGTGCACACTTCAATATCTTGTGGGCTCATCCTTCTCTGCCTTTGATACACTGGCACTTCACTCGTTAGTGGCGGGTGCATGGTGCTTATGGTGCACTTCCCCAACTCCTGCAGAGTGTGAGCGAACACCGCTGCATGCTGCCGCAGAACCGCCTCCAGCCTGATCGCCGCTGCTCCCTGCAGAGCTGAGCCGATGTTCCAGGTGTGGTCCCTCTCCTCTACTCCCTTTGTGACCTGTCCTTCTCCGCCCATCGCTGCTTGCTATACTGGCTCTCCTTCCCTGTCCGCTGCCACTGTCACTTCACCTGCTGTTCCTGCTTCAGCTCCTTCGCTTTGCTCCTCCCCACCTTCGTCTCTCAGCACCATGTAGTGCCGGTGGTACCTCCCCCTTGCCTCTGCTCTTGCTGCCTTCCGCTGCAATTCCCACTTCATCCTTCTTCCTCTTACGTAAGTGCTGCCCCACACCGCTGCCATGCATTCCCTGACCCTTCGCTTCGGCAGACATCACCCTTCCTCGCACCCCTTGGTCTCCCTGCACACTGCAACCCCCACCTTGACCCTTCGCATCTCATCCTCGGCACTGCGCAGCTCGCTATGTACAGTATGTACAATTTGTACATCCCCCACTCTCTCCTCGCTATCCCTTTCACATTCATGCAAATGTGACACTCCCTCTCCTCTCGTCTTCGGTCCCCCGCTTCCTCCTCCTGACCCCTCCCCAACTTTTTTCCCCCGTCCTCAGCCTCCATTGTCCCCTCCTCTTTCTCACAGTTGGGCCTCTTCTCGCTCTCCTCGTGCTCGTCCCTCGTCCCCTGTTCCCGTCACTGACCTTCGTACTGCCCTATTTCGTCCTCGCTCCCCTCGTCCGTCTCCGTCTGTGCTTCCTTCTCCTCCTGAGTCGGCCCTCACTGCTTCCCTCTCTACTCCTGTCACTGACTACTACCGCACGTACCGTCCTGTTCTCTCTCGTGTTCTCGCCTCTCTTGTTACCAACCCTTGTGCCATTCTGTCCTCTCTCTCCGCCCTTACTGCCGCAGTCACTGAGTTCGCCACTACTCGCCGCCTTGACTACGCCACTAGTCTTGTGGCTGCTCCTCCTACCAGTCCTCTGGCCGTCGGGGGTGAGTCTGCCCTTGGCTATGACGCCCTAGAGGACAGGCAGTTTGAGCTAGATTTCCTGGCAGCTGCTTCCCCTCACCTCTGTGCCATGCTGCTCGCCCTTGAGGGAGACCTCGACGCCCTTGACATACCGACTCCTCGCACTTACGCTGAGGCAGTGTCAAGGCCTTGGGCCTCTCAGTGGAGAGCTGCCATGGACGCAAAGATGGCCCCCTGCAAATCCACAGGCATCTAGCTCGACGAGGTTCCCCCCCCTTGGGCAAACGTAGTTGATGACATGTGAATCTTCAGGGTGAAGTGGCCACCGGGATCTTCTCCGGTCTTCAAGGTGCGCTATGTGGCTAGAGGTTTCAGTCAGCGCGAGGGAGTTGACTTCTTTCAGACCTTCGCACCTACCCCGAAGATGACCACTCTTCGGGTGTTACTGCACGTAGCAGCACAGAGAGACTACGAGTTACACTCTCTTGACTTCTCCACTGCCTTCCTTCAGGGTAGCCTACACGAGGAGGTCTGGTTGCATCGGGTCCCTCTGCCTTCACTTGCACTTTCCCTCCTGGGACCCAATGGAGGCTGAGGCGACAGGTCGACGGTCTCCGTCAGGCGCCTCGTGAGTGGCACGACACCCTTCGCTCTACCCTGTCTGACCTCGGTTTCCAGCCGTCATCTATCGACCCATCGCTGTTCATTCGTCGTGGCTCCACACTATTCTTTGTACTGGTCTACGTCGACGACCTGGTCTTCGCCACTGCTGACAGGGTTGCTTTGGCTGACGTGAAGTCCAAACTGCAGAAGAGACACACGTGCACTGACCTTGGTGAGCTGTGCCACTACCTTGGCCTGCAGATCACCAGGGATAGAGCCGCACGCACCATTACACACTTACAGTCACACATGGTGCAGCAGGTCCTTCAGCGGTTCAGGCTTCAGCACTCTACAGTGCAGCGCATACCTCTTGCCGTTGACCACAGACTCACTGGTCCCTTTCCTGACGAGCCGTTTGAGCCTAGTGGTCCTTACGCAGAGCTTGTGGGCTGCCTCATGTACCTGATGACTTGTACTCGCCCGGACCTCGCCTTCCCTCTTAGCATCCTTGCTCACTTTGTTGCTCCAGGGAGACACCGCCCTATTCACTAGACAGCTGCTGTGAGGGTGGCGAAGTACCTAGCGACGACATCAGGCGTGGGGCTGGTACTTGGAGGGAGACATTCTATCATACTTACTGGTTTACTCAGGGGTACTGCTTCAGCCCGGGCTCTGGAGCTGTTTCGTGGAGGTCCACGCGTTCCTCCTCGATCTTGACCTCTACCGCCAAGGCTGAGATCTGCGCTGGAGCCATGGGTGCAGAGGAGCTTCGTTGGTTGACCTACTTGATTACCAACCTTGCTGAGCGGCTGAGCTCTGCACCGACCTTGTTCAGTTACAACAAGGTGACGAGTCTCCTCTGTCGAGAGCCGCGACTGGAGAGCAGAGTGAAGCACATCAACATCAGGTACTTTCTTCTGCGAGAGTTGCAGAGACGTGGACAGGCTCGCTTTGGCTTTGTGGAGTCCGAGGCCAACACTGCAGACATCTTCACCAAGGCCCTTCCGCCTTGTGACCACCAGAGGTGTTGTGTGCAGTTAGGTCTTGTTGACACAGGTTCTCGTCTTACGTAGTCTTGAGTTCTCTGCTTGCTTTGTTTGTACGCTTTCCATATACCTCTGTGAACTCTTGAACTGGCCTTGTGGCTCTTTTGCTTGTGCTCAGACTGTGTGGTGACGTTGTGATCCACCATGAGCTTTGTTTCTTTGTGACTGGTCTTGTGACCGTACGGTTTTGGTTTTGCTTGACACCCCTCACTTAGGCTATGGGGGTGTGTCAAATGTTGTAGCCTTTAGTGATGTGTGTCATATGGGGAACATCAGTTAGGGTTAGGTTTATGTACCCCAACCAACCTTAGTCAAACCATCATTCAGTTCTTGACAGCTAAGGAGGTGGGACGGAGAGGTGGGGTGACAGGAATGGGGGATGGGGAAGAGGGGAAAAAAGAGGGAAAGGTAGGAAGATTGCAGAAAAGTGGGAAGGGCAGGAAGAGAGGGGAAGGGCAATGCAGGGAGGAGAAGGGCAATGCAGGGAGGGGAAAGGCAATGCTGGAGAGGAAGGGCAATGTAGGGAGGGGAACATCGGACCTTTCCAAATTTTTGTGGTCAATTTTCAGGCAAATGAATTGCAATCGCCCGGAAGGCTGTCTCTCGGTAAATTGCTGGCAATGCTGGGCGTCGATTGCAGGCCAACAGAACCCACCTGAATACAGCGATCTGTTGGCCAAACTCGGTACGCAGGGAATTTTTCCGGAGTCACCTGCGCGTCGACTCGAACCCAGGCGATGATCACAAAGCAATTTCACTACAGTTACACATGATTGATTTTGGGAATGCAACGATGATGTTTGCAGTTAACGACCACGTGTTACTTTTGAAAAGTGAAATAGCATCTATTTGACCTACATACCACGAAAACTGTACAACTTTTTTTAAATATGATAAAAAAAAAGAAACAGTTATGTCCTCTTTATAAAGAAATTCAATATTTGTTGATTAAATATAGACGCAAATGAATACGATCGTACAAATTACGCAAATCAGTAATAGCATTATGCACCAGTATCAGCAAAACCAGCATTAGATGAACTCACGGGTTGTAGAAACATTTATATTATTCAATAACACTAGATTAGCTCAGTACAAACGCTTCAAATACAATCGCCTTAAAAACTACCTCCAGTTTAAAACAAGAATGTCACTGTAGTCATAGTAGCCCCCAATTAGGGGCGTCCTCTCCTTGTCTATCCACTTCTCAACCTAGAGTCTCCTCTTGTCCATCTCTCTCTTGTTCAGCCCTTGATTCGGGAAAAGGCTTAGCATGCGAGTGAGCATGGTATGCTCCACCTGCAGGAAAATGCAAATAATCAGGTTTTGACTGGAAGGAAACTCTGATACGCAAAAAGAGTGTACTGACTGCAAAAATAGTGTAGCAAAGCTGCTCGATGGTGAGAGCAATGTCTTCTGGAGGGTCCTTGCTATACTAGCTTGATGCAGTTGCAACTATTGCAGCACTCGCATATGAACGCTGAGCAGCGGCAGTGTTCTCCACGAGGTTTACGGACGCATCAAGAAGCTTCGGCAATGCCTTCTTTCGGAATCCGGAAGCGGGCTTCCCTCGCCTGCTATTGACGGACTCAATAGCTTTTGCTGCCCACTTCATATTATCCCAATGCCTTAAGAAACTGGCAGCTTCAATTGTATGCAAAGGCAGCAAGTTAGAAGCTTCAGACATAATATCACTTTCCTCTGGATAAACCTTACGCTTTTCCAGTTCTGGACCATTAAACAAGTTGTCCACTTGATACCGATTTTTTCCCTGCCCACAATCAAAGAGCCGAGAGGAGTCACATATCCTTTTTTTGAACAAAATTCCAGGCAAACTGGAAAAAAATGGTATGTAAGGACGAGTGAGCACGCACCTCCACTACTGAATCCTCGCCCCACGAAGGTTTTGCAAGTGCCTTCGAAAGATCGCTAACAATGCCAATGAGTTGCTGGTGAGCAGCATCCGCTTGCCTCTGATGCGTCTGGATCCTCTTCAAAGCGTCCATGATGTCGGCCAGGGCAAGTTATTCGCCTCACGATGGGAAACTTCCCTGTCCGGTACTCTTGGAGCGCCTGTAGGAGGGATGTAAAAATAACTGAGACAAGAAAACCGTGCGATTTAAAAAACCAACGATGCATATAAAAAGACAAACAATACCAGTGTTCTGATTATTATTGGGAGACGGTATCGGAATACTGTTAGAACCATCACCTTGAGACCCGACTATGTTGTCAGCTGCTTCACCAACAGCATGGTCGACTTCATTTTGAACAGGGGCTGGTTCCTGGGCAATCTGGGTGGACGGGGAGTTTGCATCAGCCGCCTGCCTATACCTTCCGTAGCCGGGAAGACTAATTTCGTAGTCGTTCAAAGCAGGGTTTCTGCCAGCCTTGGCACGTTGCAATCGCCTTCTTTCAACGATAGTTGCGGGTAGGTGGGCCATTGATAGCCAATACACAAGGCTCGTTAGAGCCGAGACACAATGAGAGAGGGCCTAGAGCCTCCAGCAGTATTCCTCCGTGCCCCAGCAAAATGAGCACTTGGCGCTGGGCCAGTATTCTGAATGCCAACCCATCTAATTGTTTCAGGTTGACTGCCCGCATCTTTAGTTTGCCCATCAATCGAACCTAGGATAAGTGAAAATTATCATGTGCACCAAAGCTGCTGGTGAATTTCTTACACCTTTAATAAAAAGTCAACGTGAAGTGACAGTCAGGATCAACTTTGGTTGTGAATTTTGGGCAAGCAGACTAACTTTGTTTCTCGAAAGTTGTCGTGAGCAACAATGCAAGCAGTTGAGCATTGGGCACTTCAACACCAATCAGGGCTGAGTGGTGAGTGCGGTGCGTGTGTATTCATAGCCCAGGTTGGACTGTTTGTCGTGCTTGGAAGTAGAAGCTTCGAGAGCCAACTCCAGCTGGACTGTTTGCACCGACGGTTTCAAAAGTACTGTATGCGTTGTATTTTCTGCTGGAACCGCTTCGCAAATTTGCAGTCTCATTGGTTTTGGGTTGGGGCAGAACGTGGAACCTTAATGCTGCCCAACAGCGCCAGTTTCATTTTTCCAAACTATGTCGCGGTTGAGTCACACTGGTAGTTCACATGTAGTTCTCCGAACTCAACACGCCCCGTCTGTGAGAGGCGGTAAAATGTACGTGTTTTCAATCGGTGAGTTCTATTTGTTCGAGTGGTGTACTTTTGCTTCCCCAATTACATCCAAACCGCCTGTCGCCCTCAATCCCACCAGAGCACTTCGCCGCCCGTACTTCCAATGTCATGCTAAAGTTGTCCCCAGCCCAGCCAGCTGGCAAGATATACACTTGCGCTGGCAACAGTTGCGGTGGCAACAGTTGCGTCAACATGTCAACTTGGAACTTCGCTTTTGCCTCAAACCTTTTTTTCCGCTTTCACTGTTTCGTCTACCCCAAGCACAATTCCTACCTTCTTGAAATTAAATCAACTCTATAGAAGTGAGGTAAGTGTCACTGTTTTAGCTTTACAGTCGACCCTCCCCCCAGCTCACGCTTACGTCCATCGCGGCCTTCCGTAATGCGATACATAAATTTTTTCGAAAAATCACCCTCGCACATTGAGATTACCCTGAAAATATCTACATTTCGTAGTTCCCTTCTACTCCCGCCCAACCCTTGTCCCAGCCTGGAGCCATCTGATTTTCCCAGCCTTGCCTCATAAATGAAACCTATTGCGTTGGCGTCGTTGGTGGATGACCCACCACCCTTCCCAGGGCTCCCCTCGCTGGCGTTGTCGTTAATGTGACTGCACAGTGCAGTCGTTGGTGTGCACATCCCAACGCGCTGTATCTCGTGGTACGCCCCTCGCGTTCGCATGTGCGCCAAAGACATCCTCACCGAGGTAAACAGCGAACACTTTGTTTTGTTATGAGTAAACACATTGATACTGAAGCACATACCAGAGTTGCATACTTTCAAAAGTGTTTTTTTTTTCTTTTTTTTCCTTTTTAACAGAAACTTAAATTTATTAAGAACAAAAACACCATCACAAATTGGAACAACATGGGCTACTCGCAAAATTGTGTCGATTTCCACTACACGGTACTCGCTATCAGGGTCTTCCCATGTCATGAGTGGGCAGTGAGACTCGTGAACTTCTCCTATGGCTCGGTAAAATCGCACGAAAGCCCTCTCCCGCTGCTCCGTCTCTTGGGTGCTAGGAATGAAGGCATCAACAACAAACAAAAGCAGCAGCCGTGCGTACCACGTAACCCTTTTCGTTGTCGATTCACCATTGGACGTCTCTCCTCTCTCCTCGCCCTCGAGTGCGACATCACTAAACCATGATTTCTTCATGAATGAAGCACACGCCTGCACCTAGTGAGTTTGACTGGAATACAGTACTTGGTGAAATCCTCATCACCAGGTATCGCCATACCATTCTTTACCTTTATGGTGGCGCTAATGATAGCTCCATCTCCTTGCGGTTGACCCAAAATCTCTCGCAATTTGGTCATATCCCCATGCGCTTCGTCGACAAGAGCACTCCAGAAATCACCACCCCTAAGCTGAGGCTCCTTCCAGTTCACAGGGGTGCTAATGCTGACGAAAGTGTTGCACCCCGTGCTTATGGTCTCTTGTAGAGCAACCATCCAGTGGCGACTGTCTTCAGTGTTGGTCGCCGAATTGTTGAGCGTTTGCAACATTCGTGCGCGCATGTTGTAGTTGATTATCTACGGCGTCGCATCTCTCTTGTTTGATGCCCGGTAAGCCGGCTTGACCAACGGTTGATGCACGTACTCAAACATGTTGGCGTTGTAGTGTATCGGCACACCCAAGCGAATGATGTCCTCAACGATGTGCACCCTGGCATGCACCTTGGAGATGTTGAATTCGGATGATTGTGAGGTTCCAAAAACATGTTTCAGCTTGGGGATTAGCCTGCAGGATTTGGGAGAAGATAAAACACACATGGCTAATATGTTTTGGGTCACAAAGTTGGAGTTAACACGAAAAGAGCATAGGGAGGTGGTGTAATTAAGGCCAAAGCTCGTGCGCTACAAGTTTGGAATGGTGTTGGAAACATGGAGTAGGGTGGTAAGAACAATGCGGTAATAGGAGTGCAATAAATTAGGATTGTTGTTCAAAAACAGCGTTGGATTTTAGGGAGAGGATAGCAAGGGTAGGCATGGTTAGTTTTAGGAATGGTTTAGAGAATTAAGGCTATTCAATGGTAGAGGTGTTGCGAAAACATTGGAGGGTGGGGAAAACAAATCAAACATAATTGTTGACCAAAATGGGTATGGTGGTTGAGTGGGAGAGGTGGAAAGAGATAGGAATGGTGTTTAGGGAAAAAAGGGCAGGGTGGTGTGAATATAGCAAATGATGTGAACAACCCGTGATGATATCAAAGACAATGGGGGGAATGACGGAATGTGGATGTTGAATGTCAGGATGAAATATGTGTAATCATGTCATGTTACCGTGGTAGAGGGAAAAAGATCAAGATTGTATAGAAGTGGAAATTTCTGGGTGATAATGAGGAACTTCACCTCTTGATGGCCTCATCGAGTTCTCGAAGCGTCCCTTCGGTATGGTACCATCGCCGAAATCCAAGGATGTAACAATCAACGAACTCCGCTACAACGTCGACAATATCTTGCGAAACCACGCCTGCTAAAACGATCGTGTTGACTTGCATGATGGCACGATGTTCGAAAGCTTGGAACTTTGCCTTTTCAACAAAGTAGCCCCGCTTCTCACTACCCGGTATGCGAAAGCCACATATGCGGGTACCAAGGGCTATCCGAAGAAGTTTCTTGTCAAGAGCTACAAGGACGTGCCGTTGTCCACGATAGAGCATTCGGATGCAATAAATAATGTGCAGAAAAATACCAAGATCCATGGCATGCATGACCTCCACCAACAACGCTCGATAAGGGTTGCCGACTGAAGTTTTGCCGAGCACAAATCCCCATATTGAAGCCTGTTGCAAACGTGGAATCGGGGAAATGACATGGTTGACAAGCGTAGATAGGGGGGATAATATTTAGAGAAGTGGATTTACCACCAAACATAATAGAAGATCCAGGGCATCACATAAATACCTTCGCGAGATGCACGCTTATGGCTTGAGAGGCTTGAGGACGAGTTGTAGGAGCCTCGATTGCAAGTAGCTGCTTGACTTTGTCCTCTTGGTACTCCTCCGTCCGCAGCGCATGTCGCGCATCCATATCTCTCATCGCTTCTCGTGGCCGGCGTATGTACCCGCCATTTTACACGCCTCAGGTTGGTCAGCAACATCAGCGTATGTCACATTTGCATGAATGTGGACGGGATAGCGAGGAGAGAGTGGGGGATGTACAAATTGTACATACTGTACATAGCGAGCTGCGCAGTGCCGAGGATGAGATGCGAAGGGTCAAGGTGGGGGTTGCGGTGTGCAGGGAGACCAAGGGGTGCGAGGAAGGGTGATGTTTGCCGAAGCGAAGGGTTGGGGAATGCATGGCAGCGGTGTAGGGCGGCACTTACGTAAGAGGAAGAAGGAGGAAGTGGGAATTACAGCGGAAGGCAGCAGCGGCAGAGGCAAGGGGGAGGCACCACCGGCACTAGGATGGGTTTGAGCATGCATGTGTGTTTGTTTTCCTGCGTGTGCAGGCAAGCTCCCAGGAGCCAGCTGGGTCTGAGCAGTGGCAGCTGGAGGTATAGTAGCTGGAGTCGGGGAACAGAAGAGGCAGGCAGCAAGGCTGGTAGTCATCTCAATGGCCGCGATAGCAGCTAGCGAGGTGACTGGGGGAAGGGTAGGCATAGGCTGAGCCAGAGCTGGTAGATTAGGAGGAACCTGGCCGAGCTAGCCTCAATGCTTGTATGCTTCCTTTGTAACACGAATTTCTTGCACTTGGCCGAGCAAGTAGTGAGAAGGAGATATTGCAAGCAGAGATGTGACAAGCTGTTAGATCGGTGTGTTATGTGAAGGAGCTAGAGCTTATCAGAGTGAGTGCATCCTAAAGAGCAGTGGCAGGAAAGGACCATTGTGATCAGCAGATGACGAAAGGGGAGGTAGCAAGTGCAGTACAGGGAGATAAGGAGAAGGAGACAACAAGAGAAAGGAGGCCAGCAAGGGCATGAGTCTGACAGAAAGGGCAGCACGGGATGCAGGGAGGTGGTGAGGTTCCGACAGGGGAGGAGGGAGGAGAGGGAGAGGGGAGACCGAGGGTCCATAGACCAGAGACAGGAGGAGGAGGTGGTGGCTGCTGCTACACCTGCTGCGGCTGCTACTGCTGCTCCTCGTGCAGCGGCTGCTTCTGCTGCAGCTGCTGCTGCTGCTGCTGCTGCTCCTCCTGCTGCTGCTGCTGCTGCTGCTGCTACTGCTCCTCCAGCTGTCGTAGCTCTAGCTGCTGCCGCTCCAACTCTAGGCTCTCTCTCTCCAACTCCTCCTGCTGCTCCTCACGTGCACAGCGAAGACGGGCCTGGTGCAGGGTCGGGTAGGGGTGCGGGCACGGAGTAGTGTCCGGGCCAAGGGCAGCCCCAAGTCTACCCTCCAAGGCACCAGCCGCACCACCCCCAGAGCCAGCACCACCAGAAGTAACAGGGTCAGTCCCAGGCTCTCCAGGTCCAGCAGAGGGCGCACCCCCAGTGGTAGCACCCCCAGGGACAGCTCGACTAACACCAGCTCCCCGAAGACTCGATTCTCCTGCAGCCACGGGCTCAGCACCAACTCCAGCACCCACAAAACCAGGACCTCGTACAGGTACGCTCTCAGCTCCAACTCCAACTCCTCTAGAGCTAGCACCTCCAGGGTCCTCGCCACGAACACTAGCTCCCGCAGGGTCTGCAGTAGGCTGTGAGAAGGAGTGCAAGGAAGAGGACGGCACCCGAGGGGCTACCGAGGGGGGAGGGTAGCGTGTGACACCTCTGACGGAGCTGGAACAGGGGGGGGGAGGCTGTACCGGGGGAGCAAAGAGGGGGAGCGGCTGTCAGGAAGAGATGGGGGGGAGGAACCAAGAGACCTCGACAGAGGTACCGGACGTAGTAGGGGACGGACTCGTCAAAACGGATGTCGCGAGAGTCAAAGAACTGGTGAAGGGGAGGGTGGTAAAAGGTGAAGTCAGAGGAGTCCTCTGGGAAACCAAGGAAGACACAGGGAAGGGCGCGAGGGGAGAGCTTGTCCGCGGAGGTGTCGCGAACAAGCGCCAAGCAGCCCCAGACACGAAAACGCGACGCAGCACCAGGGGACCCGGTCCAAAGACTGGTCGGTGAAACCTCTGGCCGAGAGACACGTGGCCATTTGTTCAGCTAGTGAGCGGCGTACCGAACCACGTAGGGTCAAAGAAAATGGGGGGCATGGGCGTAGATCATGGGGGTGCGGGCGATCTCCATAACCAAAGTATCCAAGACTGACGGATGCCTTGCTCGCGACAGAATCCAGCGAGAACGCCGGAGCGAAACTCACCCCCACGGTCGGAGTGAAGACAGCTGACACGACGACCACGAGCGTCGGCAGTGGTAAATAACCACCGGATCAGCGTAGAAGTTTCCTCGGACTTCTTCGCCAGGGGGAACACTGTGGTGTAGCGGGAGTAGTCGTCAACGACCACCAAAAAGAAACTCTCCCGCTCAGGGCCAGGGCGAGGGGCGGGGCCCTAGACATCCAACTGGAGAGTGTCGATGGGCTCGGTGGACGTACAAAGGGAGGAGGAGAGAGGGGTGGTTCGCTTCAGACCCTCGACGCAGGGACCGCAAGGTGGTGCAAGCGAAGGCGGCAGCGACGGCAAGAAAGGCGGGAGCCCAAAGACAAGACACTGAGTAGACATAGTGCGCAGGCGAGGAATGGACGGGTGCCCCATCCGGTGGTGCCACAGAACAGTGGGGTGGGCAAGCGACTGGCACGAGAAAGACGCAACGACGGGACCAAACACTGGAACCTAACCAGACACAACTACCTGGAGAGAGGCGGCAACCTGGTGAGACGCAGGGACCTGACGGGGGGCAGTGACAGGGGTCGAACGCAGCTGCTGCTGCTGCTGCTGCCTCCCTTGGGGGCCAGTGTGAAGTGTGTATAGACAAGAGCCTTGCTCAGCGGTAAAGGTAGCCAGAGGTGTGTACGTGTCACCGTCTACACAGGTCGCAGTCTTCCTAGAAGGCTCAAACCAAACACCCACGTGACTACCCACAGGTGGCCGCACACCCACCAAGTTCCTAGAGAACGAGGGGACGTGGAAGCCCATCACGGAACCCGAGGGAACAGCTGGGCGCGGGGAAGCGTAGTAGTGTAGCGAGCAGTGGCTGGTCACGAAGTGGTCGCAGAAGAAACAGTGTGAAGCTCCAGAGTCAAGGACAGCGAAGCGTCCTCCGGAGCAGCTCCTGGACTAGTGTCTAAGCAAGTACCTAAACTAGCAACTGGCACAGGATCAACACTAGCACCTAAGCTAAAAACACGCGAGTAAACAGAGTCAGAAGCACTAGAGTCAACAACAGCATACATAGCATGAGGAGTTCCTAAGAGATCAAGCAACTGAGAAGCAGACATGCCCCACAGGGCAGCACCGTGCGAGTGAAGAAAACGAAACCAGTCAGGGGCAGGGCCGTCGACGCCGTAGGCCGCGCGAAGAGTGTCAGTGAGCTGAGCAAAGCACTGACGCGGGGGGTGTGTTGGGCGGCCGCAGGGGAGGCCTCGACGAGTACCTGTCTGGACGAGATAGGTGCAGGGAGGGTGGACGGCACCGCGCGACAGCTGACGCGGTCCTGACCCCTGGCCCGGAGCCTGCTGCTGCCGCTGCTGTTGCTCTGGCTGCTGCGAGAGGAGTGGCTGCTGCTGCTGCTGTCACTGAGTTAGGCACCAAGCCTCCACTCCAGCACCTGTAGCTGGCAGTCTTGAAGGTGCCCGACCAACCCAAGCGTCACATCCATCAGCTGCAGCAGGGGAGTCACTCGACGCTGCACGAGGCGCTCCTTCAACTCCTGCACCCGCCACCGCCGCTTGCTGCCACACCACCTCCGCCGCCTCCGCCGCCGCCTGCACCCTGGCCGCCCCTCTTGTCACTCCTACCCTAGACCGCGCAGTAGTCGTAACAGCAGCTGCAGTCACGTCAGTAGCGGCAGTGGCGAGGGAGGCAGTAAAGGTGGGCAGCTGAGGGACAGTGCACTTGTGAAACAGTGGAGGGGGCACGGTGCCAAAGGCGGAGGCTACCGAGTCGAGGTTGTTCTCGACGTCCTTGAGGGCAGACTCAAGGACCTCGATAGTGAGCTCGCTAGGGTGCTTCAGAAGAAGCGCGAACCGAGGCAAAGCGGTCAGGGAGGCTAGTGGCGATGAAATAAATAGTACTCGACATGGGGGGGGAAGCAGTGCAAGTTGTGCGTTAGTGCAGGCACCGCGGTAGCTAGAGTCTAGGGAGCGCAGGTGAGCGATCAAGTCAGCAGAGCGCTCAAACGAGGCGAGGTCAGGAAACAGGAACAGGAGGAGGAACAGGCGACCAAGAGAGACAGTGGTGGGAGTAGCATAGCGGGCCTTGATCGCAGTCAAGAACTCACTAGCAGTTCGAACCTGGGTGAAGTGGGTCTCCTCAAACTAAGGGATGAGGCTGCTGAGGCGATGTAGGCCGCAGCGTCACGCGACTTCCACGCTCTCAGGGCAGCGCACTAGCGTGCATAACGGTCTCTGTCTGCAGTGGTGGCGTCAGCGCCTAAGGGTGCAGGATCTGGGGGTGCAAGAATGTCACCGGAAGCGTGCGTCCACAGAGACTCGTCTGCCTGAACCTGACTCTCTAGGAGACGCTGCGCACGCTGAAGCCAGACAAAAAACTCGAGCGGCCTACCCTCGGTGTCGAAGTGGAGGACTTTAGGGGTCGCCATAGCGGAAGCAAAGAGGTGGGAAGTGCCGTTGCCGAACCCTAAACGCCTAGAGGGCCTGAGTAGGGCGTGACAGATAGAGCGTGAGGCTCAGGGCGCTACAGGGCGTGTAGGGCGTGACGGGTTGGCAGGGTAGGGCGCGACGTGACAACATGGTAGGGTGCGACGTGACGGGCAGGGAGGCGTGACAAGACAGGCGAGGGGACGGGACGGGACAGGCGCGATGCGGCGGGACAGGCAGCGCGACGCGACGGGACGGGACGGCAGCGCGACGCTACAGGACGAGACGGGCAGCGCGATGCGACGGGACGGGACGGGCAGCGCGCGACGCGGCGGGTCGGGCAGGCACGGCACATGCGATGGGACAGGACGGACATGACGCAACGGGACGGAACGACCCGACCCGACGCGACGGGACGGCAGAAGGGCGCGACGCGGCTGACAGGCGTGACGCGACAGGACGGGACAGGTAGGGGCGACGCGACGCGATGGGACAAGCGGGGCGCGACGCGACCGGCAGGCGCATCGTGCGCTAAGGCACGGGACAGACCGGTGCGATAGGCGCTAGGGGATGGTACAGGCATAGCGGTTACTAGGGTACGGGACAGGCTCGGGCGTTACGGGCGTGAACGGGAGGAACGGGATCCCACAGGATCCTAACCTAGGGGATACCGATGATGATGAATGATGGTTTGGCTATGATTGGTTGGGGTCTATAAACCTAACCCTAACTGCTATACCCCATATGACACACATCACTAAAGGCTACAA